ACTGCTTATCAGCCCAGTTCAAACGGCTTAGGGGAGATATTTCATCGTCAACTGAAAGCATTATTGATAGCAGTGAAGGGTGATGATAAGTGAGACGATAAATTATCTCTTGTATTGCTGGAAATCCGTTCCACAATAAAATAAGAAATCGAATGTTGCCCAGCAGAATTAGTTTATGGAACTTCTTTACGACTGCCTGGAGAACATTTCAACCCAGTCAATGAAGATCCAACTGACGAAACTAATTTTGCACAACAACTCAGACAGCATATGAGGCTGTTAAAATATCATCTCTCGCAATATCAGCTCAACCAAGCGTTCATGCCTCAAAAACTAGGGAATCGCACTCATGTTTTCGTATAACATGATGGTGTGAGAAAACTACTTCAACAGACCATTAAAAGTAATAAGCAAAACAAGCAAAATCATTGCCGAACGCGGAAGGAAACACAAGTGACATATTCAGTAGTGTTCGCGTGAGTATTTAGTCGTCAACAGATTCGAATGCTACTACTTGCTGCCACAACCGCATTCTCCAAAAATTGATTAATTCTTCACATATTTTCACAAAAATAAGTTTTATGTTTCTTTCCTATGGACATAACGGGCAGCGGAATTTCCACGTATTACGGATGGCTGCTAAAAGATACATTCTAAATGCCTCAGCATTTATTTCGATAAATAAAGAAATAGTCTTAAAACTTTTCCTCCGCTATGTTGTACATAGTAACCGGTCAATTGTGCAATGACTTCCAGGTGGAGATTGCTGGAAAAATAAGTCAAAACTATGTTGGGTGGATGATTTTGCAGCCCTAGAGATTTCAGCGATTCAAGAATTTTGCTTCAGTGTACAAAAGTCGTCTACTGATATGTCTTCAAAATGGGAGATCCTAGTGGAGACTAATTCATCCACAAACCCTCAAGAGTTCTAATAATATTAATGATTTAGGAGACTTTAAGTTTCGAGAATGTAGATAATTGCGGCTGTTTGAAATCCTATTGTGTTATTACAAGCCGCCGACACACAAACACATCACGGATAAAAGTGGTCTATTTCAACATCATTCGTTGTCTAAATAAATCCCATTGTTTCAATTGTATACTGGGTCGCCCGGTAAACGCGATATAATCATGAATAATAAAAGCTATTTAACCAAGTTGACTTTCAGGAGAACTTACCAGTATTGCGATGAACATTCGTTCAATTTTCCAGTGTCGCTTGCATTTGAGGGAATGTATTAAATTGCTGACCAAAAGAATTGCTCTGAAAGACAAATATGAAATTGAAGTAATTTCGGTGTAGTATTTCAGCATATGTATCAACCCGCACTTTTAAGACTGCATATTACATTTTGCTATGATGTGACACACAGTGGAGAAGAATTATTCCGTGTCTATTATGCCTTAGAATTCATTACTGGCCATGACATTATTTCGTGCTCAGTAAAATTGTGCTTGTTGTTATGTTCTCGTCGCCAAATTATTGCTATGTACTGGTCGAGAATTTAATAGTCCTGACGCAAGAAGGCGGAAATCAGAAGACCACTAGGTTTGCGATGATACTTCCATTTTCCAAACACAAGGAGAAGCAATAAGTGGTATCACACCAAAGTGTCACACAAACTGTGAGAGCGAAATATATATGAATGTCCAGACAAGTGTGTGAACAAATCAATAGACAGTCTTAACATGAATGCCTAATTATAATGAAGTATCGATCCATATATACATAGCGAAATATAGCAGACATGTCAACAACCACACATATAATATGGATATATGTCACCAAGCAACGGACTGTCAACAAACACTCATATTATATATAATATAAGGGGAATATACATTGTTAAAGGAGACAGGTTCATCAAAGTGAAATGGTCACAGACTAAGCGAGCAAACAGAAAGAGAGATCAACATACACACATATATATATATATATATATATATAGATACATATCACTTGTAATCACTGAGATACTTCAGCATATTGCCAGAATGCTTATTTGACACAAATATGGTAGAATCTAGGAGTCACATGCAAATGATTGCTACGACGTAATACTGATCCATCGCAGTGGTATTTTCCAATCTGAATAAAAAATTTTTAAGTTGCAAGGAAAACGATATTTCCAAAGGTGCATTTGGAAACCCATCATCATTTGAACTGAAATGATGTTGATTTCGGATATTTCAGTTATTCATCAAGTCTTGTTATTGCGTATAGCTGATTGATGAAATACAAAGTGCATGTTTTCTGAGATTACCACGGTATTACTATTTATATTAATACAGTGGTTAGGACTCTCGCCGACCATGCACATGGTTCGAGGTTCGATCCCCTGCCCAAAAACACCTAATATGTATGGTCGGCCTGCAAAATTTGGGCTACCGATATCCATGCTGATAATTTCATACTTGTACCAAAAATACAGTGTGGAATCAAGCTGTAATAAAAAAAAATAAAAAATAAAAATTCTGATTACTGGATCATAAATTTCTTTTATAAGTTGAGTGTTAGATGAATGCTGGTTTCATTCGAACACATGGATAGCAAAAGTCAACTTTCATAGGAATACTGTTGGTTAACCATTTTCACATTCTAACAAACAACCGTAAGGAATCTGATGTCACCCCTACCATATGTCAGAATTCCTCGATTTTAAATACTACGAAATAGTGAACTAATGGATATCGTTGACATAAGGAAGGCTGATGAACAACAATTCAGTTGATATTTCCATAAATGAGAGTGAAAGTATATTAGTCATAAACTAAACAATGTGGATCACTCAAATGTGAATGAAATGTTGTATAATTCTAGTAGTTGTACGAGTGATATTGGAAAAAATACTCATGCTCGAATATATCCAACTCGTTCTTCCAAACCTTGAACCGATATTCTTAAAATATATATTTACTAACAATCTTAGCAGAAAAGTAAAACACTTGAAACTGAGTACTGTAACATTACGAAAACATGAAATTAACGAAATACTTTGAGAAGTAATAAATAATGACGTCAACTAAATTGGTAATTACTTCTAATTTTCTGTATTTTGAAGTGACTACTGATAAAAAATTATTCAGTAGTATGAGGTTTAGATTAATAGGAGGAAAACAAAAAAGAAAATCAACAACAAATCAAAAAACTTCATTACACCTGACCTGACCGACATTAAATAGGGGTAAAATATGTAAATAGGTTGAATTTATCCTTATTAAAAGTTCACTTGTTTGTCTTCGGTCTTCTCTGGCTACTTTGCAATAGGAGAGTGTCATCGGTATTGCAGATGAAGATTTGCTTCAGCCTGGAATACTCAGTTGATGACATCAAAGAAAGTAAATTTAATTATAGGATGACTACCCAACAGAATTCTTTCAGACAAGTGTGATCCATAGAAAAATAAAAATTAACAGTGGAAATTGCGGAAATAATAATTTTTTTAAATTTAGCGGCAGTACTAAGCGGCAGTATAAAGAAGGAACGTCTTAGCTATATTCTTAGTGAAGATGAAATAAGGGTGGCATTTTATCCAAACAACGTTTTCAAAAGTAGACCGTTGGCTAAGGGACCCAATATATCCGATTAGGAAATATGTTATAATTTACGACATACCGCGTAATGCTGTACGAGTGGTCATTTACCCAGTTCAAACTAGTAGATCGGGAAAGTAGATTATTGCAACATAAAATATTAACTAGACCCAGAATGACTGGCCCCTGTCAGTAAACGACTTCAAAAGACGCCCAGCCATTGCACTGAGGTTACGAAATAGGTGGTAGGGAGAGTGTGAGATTGTTCAAAATTAATATGGTTAGGTGAAGAGTGAGAAGGTAATTAATGAAGCTGTTTTATCAATTCAACGTTACGCACGTGCAATCGGAATGACGTAACGCCAGCAAAGTTGCAACAATCAACCAGTGGAACACACACAGAGAAATATGCACATGAGATTAATCAATGTGTTTATGGTCCATACATGCTGCTCAAAGCATCATCCAGTAGTTAACACTGTAAATGTGTGTGGTAATGGACACATACATTCTCAGTTTCATGTACTCCTAATTTGTAATCGGCACAATGTCTCAAAGCTAAAGGATACTCACCTCGATTTTAAAACGAACACAGCATTTTTGGAATCCGTGATTCTGATGTTTACATTATTCATTTCGCAAAACAACAGTTGAGAGAATCATTTGAAAAGTATCTTTGATTTTTGGCCTGTACATAAATACACGAAAACAACAAACAATGATCCACAGAAAACACACAGGTTAATAAAATGAACCACGATCAGTCTCATATTAGAATATGAGCAACTGGTCAAAGTCCGCTGACAACTGTAACATATAAGGGAGTCGGTTAATAACGTTGATTCCAGTTTATCAATATGAAGTTATGTAAGTTCAAATATGTTGACCAGTTTTTATTTAGGATAACTAAATTCCACCTAGAACGTTAAATGGTTCATATCCAGGACATTGTAACTGACCTTGCTTATAAACATATCTCGAGTACTTTTCGATTAACCAATTATTCGCATTGCTGTTAATACTAATGAAGCAACGATACGATAGTCCGACCATTTACCAGACCACATTCTAACACGCAGAGTCATGTTATGTTTAGTAAAGTAACTGAGGCAATCAGAATGAACTTTCTATCAAAACCAGTACACCAATATATATATATATATTTTATAAACGTTTCATTGTATTATATTCATTAAAACACATACTTATGTGAAGGGGCGAATACACAAAATAATAGCAGCTCATAGAGTTCAGTATCGACTGTAAGCCTAATGATTACTGATCACTCTGAAATCGGTGGTTTTAGATTACAACTGGAGACAAAATGACAATTTAAATGACACCCGTGATTAGCTAATTAACGAAAGGTGAGATATGAAAACGTTTCTTGTAAGCAATGTGAGTGAATATTTTACACGCAGTAGGACTAAAGGAGAACATACGAAACTAACTGAAGTCTCTACTCACCTATTAAATTTAATCATCTTTTTATGCTGCTCCTCAAAATATTCAGTGGGAGAATAAGGGTAAATCCACGGTTTGTCTTTCTAGACTGATGGACTTTCATCTATGGCGAAAATTGTAGCAATATATTGTTGATGACAGTATTTCCATAACTTAGAAATCTTTAACATTATAAGGAGTAACGTGTATATTCTGTTCGATATCAGACAGTGAAATAAAAACACAAGCCAATTTGTTATCAGTTTTAATCAAACATTTTATATGTTTAAACTGTCAATTACTCGGCTTGTTTATTTTCATTAATAGTCAAAATGGTTGAATCATCAAAGGTTTGTGAAATCATCACAGTTATATAGCCTTTATTTCATAGAATAAAAAGCTTGGTGTTATTTCTGCAGAAAGCTGTTACCTAAAGGTAAGTAAATTAGTCTCTGTATTAAGCATAAACTCTAAAATAAAATCAAGTATCTTATTTTGACTTGCGCAATGGTTTTGTTGACAATAATTATTACAATGTGTGCAGCGACCATGTAAGTTTGTATTGTGATATCTTCTCTACACAGCTTTTTCTATAGACCTCCATTTCGAGTTGTGTGCGAAAAACTCTACCTACCAATTGCATTTTTGTAAGTATATTGAAGCATAGTTTTTTTTCCGCATATTCTGGCTTTTGTGTCAGAATATATTAGTATGTCACTATTATCATTGGATCACAATTATAAGTAACCAAGATGATATCAGCCCTTATTAGAACTGTATCACGGTGATGAATGGGCACTTCCACTTGCACGTCGGTGGCACATCTGTTAGGACTCTCACCAACCAAGCATATGGTGTAGGGATCGATACCTGCCGATGCACACCTGATATCAATGGTCGGTCTTCAAAATTTCGGCAACCGATATGACATGCTAAAAATTCCATACTTGTACTAAATACACTGTGTGGTTTCAAGCTATAATCAAAATAAAATATAAATAATGTCTTATGTAATTGTAATTAGATTTTACTGACTAGTTACGATGTTTTCGTCTTCAGTGTACTTGGTATAATCCCCATGGGAGTGTTTCTTTTTGCAAAAAACGTCCAAGAACGATTTCCACTGAATTATGTGCTTGTAGTACTTGCGGTAAGCTTTATTTTATTGATTTTAAGAATGTGTTTCTTCAACATTGTGCACTGACCACTTCACAAAAAAAGGAATTTCTGCATGAGTAAACGGTGGACACAGATATTTGATGTCTGCCTCACAGAAATGTCGATCATTGATCATTTCGAAGTTGTACCGACATAAAGAGAAATCTCACTTAGTGAAGAGGAAAGGTGGTTTTACTGATCACGGTAGTATATATTGGATCATACATTGGAAAACAGTTGCATAAATACTTAGAATGTTCTCGTAGAATGAAATCCGAGTTACACTGAACTTCATTTCTGATGTCATTGGCATGTTCACTAGAGACTAGCATGTTTCATGATTGGATTTAAGGTGATAATTATATTATAATATTGTTAATCAAATCGAAAGGATGGGTGAATCAGATCAATTTCCTTTCATTACCTTGAGAAAGAAATATTTATTCAACCAATATCTTCAGTGATGATCCAGGGAGGACGGTGAACACTGTATAGAAAAAGCTACATAGTGTCCTTAACCGTTATCATACCGTATTAAAAACCATATTAAAGTGGTCAATGTAAAATAAGTCACAACGGAATGTTTATCAAAGTTTTTATGAATCGAAGACAGTAGTAAAACAAAGCTGCCTACTGTCAAAGATGATGTTTTTTATTATCGTGGATTGAACTATCTGGTGTACTATACAAAGCGACAAGACAGATAGGAAGACTCCAGAAGGCCTGGACAACTTAAAAAATGCATGTTTCATTTCTCAGAAATTCGTGAGTCAACGAGTGGAAAGCAAAAATTCAGAAGGGGTTGTCTGTGTAACCAAGACTTCAAATGAACACACAGGTGACAGTGGTGATGAATATACATAACCCATGAAGAAAATAAGCGAGAGTTACCATCAAAAGGTGAGATTTTGAGGATTTCAGTCGTGCTACTTGTCCGGAATGCGTCGCTCCAACTATATTCCCGAACAAGTTTGAATTCTGAACCGTGCAATTTAAGGTGGTAGAGCTTGACAGGATGGAAAAGGCATGACATACTTTGACTATATGGGATTCGATGTGGAAGCTGTCACTCTCACCATAATGGACATGATGCAATTCTTCAATGCTAATGCGAAGTCATGACGTATATTTGATTCAGAGACTAGTTGTATCCCCAAAAGCATCTCCAGAAGACTACAGACACTTGACAATAACTGTATCTGTTACCTTGATACTGAATATCATATGGCAAGCTGGACAGTGTAGTAAACAAAGAAGTCTGGCAAATAATCAACAAACAACTAAGGAGATTGAGACAGCGGAAATTCAAGCTGGAGAGAAACGTTGAGTGACATCGTTGGCCAGGTGAACTAGTGGAACCTGTAGGAAACATGGCAATGAATACATTGATTGCAGGATGACCAGTAGTGAATCCTAATAACGTCAAATTGAAAGTCGATTTTCCACAAACTATGATCTGATCTCTCCAACTGCCCTTCATTACTTCCATATTGCTCAGTGATTGACTTCGTTTCTATCATTGACAACTCAATACAGTTTCCCAATATTCAAGATTCATTCGTGAGAATTCACACCATATTACATTTACAGAAACATCTTGGCAACACAGACAAATACGGTAATTTGACTAGCACACTTCCTATATAATCAATTTGGTTTAAGTAATTTCAAATTATAACTCGTGTTTTTCATGATTCTTTAAGCAACATATGTTATGTCTATCTAGTCCAATTGAGACCTCGAACCTTACCAGTATTCATGTAGTCTCTTTATAAATGTAGTAGGTAATCCATTTTTTATATACAAATTAATCTGGTGCTGGCTGAATGAAGAAGGTACTAAAAAACATATGCTGACTTCGAATCCATTAAAATATGCTGCGTGCTTTTAAGTTCACCAAAGAATAACCACGAAAATTAACAATTCAAATAAATAGGCTTACGTGTGATGACAATTACACACCGATGAAAGTAGCTGACACTCACGCTATGCACCACTGCATTTCATCTCAGTGGTACAGTGACATATGAAGTTGACTTTTAGACTGACGATACATGGTTCAATCCCTGGATTTGACTTCATTAGGGTGTACTGCTGATACGTCTAAAACAAGGATGCAATAGATATACAGTACGCCATAGTTTTATTTGGTATTGTAACTGAAGACTTTTCGTGATCAATCTTGAAAACAGAAAAGGCAATCCTTTATATATGAAACAAACATTTGCTAACCATAAAAAACGAACTATAATACTTCAACCTTTTTACCTGCAGATCACTTCAACCATCCTCCCTGCTTTAATCATCGTTCTCGCTATAATGATGGTAAGTTTGATAAATAACCGGTGTTTACACTGCTTTATCCATACTGCATGTTTCCGCATTATTGTTTCCATTATGCGTTTCCGTGTGTGTTCAGCACTTTGAATAATTTCTCAGGGGTGATCTCAAATGTCCCAGTTATCCGGTGATTTTCAAGAGTTAGTTGATTGTATGAACAAATAAACTGCCGGTTGTGCTTGATATGAAGTATTACTGATATAGCCAGATATATTGCAAAAGTTGTTAAGTCTGCTCTATATACTTTCAACTTCAGATGCAAAACATTCTTCTAATGTCAATGCTTATATTGTCTATAATCTCCTCAAGGAAATGTATGATGTCTACATCTGACCGGATAAGGGATAAAACGTTGCAGTAAAGCTGAGGCAAGCAGTCTGCTACCAATCTGGCTAACTGTAATCACTTGGACAGGAGTGTTCTTGATATATGTATCGATAACTGTTATGCTTCCGAGACCTCAAAGTAATAACCAAACTAGGAATTAAAGTAGAACTTGTCCGTCTCTGATTGTGCATGAATAATACTACTTCATTTTTTCGTTGTTTTGTATATCATCAGACATATGTAGTCTGTAGTCATATGTGTAAAATTAGTTTTATACAAGAGGATGATTTTCATTCATGTACCTGAGAGTTAATAATCAAACTGTCACTCATTATATTACTCATTATTCTTTTTCTACGGTGCTGCAGATGATAAGAGATTCAGAATTTGCATAAAGTTATTTTGAATGGCATAAAAGAGAACAATAAGTGATTTTCATCTGTCACATACAAAGAGAGATGTATCAACTGAATAGTGTTCATGCCTGTTTAGTTTGTCTTTCTCTCTGCGTGCCTTAGTGAAGCTCGTAGTACGCTATTTAGACGCCATTGATTTCCCTGTTCCAATAAAAGCTCTGACTCTCAAGTGAATTAAAATAATAATAATAATACGAAGATCCTAGTCTTTGTGGGGATTAGCATTAGTTTCTACGTGAAGTGAATAACAAAATGACGTCATTCAAAGAAACATTGTAGATTGCGAAATACCAAATAGCGGTTTCTGACATTTTGTGATGATACAGTATCATGGAAATGAAACTGCAATGAGAGTTGAAGCTGAGACATTGAGTTTTCAACAGTTAGCTCGCCGGACAGTCGTCCGCTTGAGATAGAATTGAATGACCTATGAATTTCAAATTTCTAGGACTATAATTTCTCTATATAAGATTCGATTGCAATTCACCATGCAAAGCTTTAATCTGAGTACTGTTGGCATAACTGCTAAAATATGGATCACCTGTGAGCTATTACGTTTAGACAGCAATACCTCAAACCTTGTCCTATAGTAGGAACCGACAACTTATACCATGAGAAAAATAAACAGACACTCCATTGATAGAGAATGAAGAAACCCGTTAACACTATTAGGCTTTGTCATCCATAAAATTTCTGGGAAGCGAAATGCCTTAAATGTCCATTTAATGTATTAGAAAAGTCCTATTCGACATTAAGTCAGATGTGTCTATTAGAAACTGGCAATCGAACAGCTCGGAGAAGTGTGTGAATGCATAAACCAAAATATTTGCTGAAGTCAATAAACATGTAGGCGGTAAAATACTACAAGTGTATGTGAACTTAACCACTTGTTATACACCTATTTAAGTGCTTTTTATATCCCATTTTAAACACTGAGTATGCTGCAGCTTACCAGCATGGTGATATTACATTTGGAGAACTGATTTCAACAAACTTATATTTAAGTATTATTGGTTTGTAGGGATTTGGTTGATTGGTTAGAGGATTTCATCATGCGCTGACACTGATTAGAGAAGCATTGGAAAATCTGAGAGTAATGGACATCCGTTTCACGCTGCTGGACAGTCTCAAACTAGGACAGAACAGCTGTTCAGTAGTTGCAGGTTTTTCAATGGTTCTCTAACCAGTATCAGCTCATGCTGAAATCCTGTACCTAAACTTATGTTTCACTAATTTTTTTAAAAAATTTGAACTGATTAAGTGAGAAGCATATGCCTGACTTATAAAATTAAACACAGAAAACAAAGAAGTCTCAAATGAGTAAAAAAACCTTCAATGAATTATAGTTGGTCACTATCTAAGATTATCAAACATGTAGTTTGAAGCGACAACAGTCTTCCAGGAGAAACACTGACCAAACAAAATTGACATAGTGCTAATTCTTGTGAGTTTCCACTCATAATGAATATCAAATATCTGTAATGGAACATTCTATGAAAAAGAGAAGTTTTATATTGTAAACCTTCTTCTAACATTAACATCCATTGAAGTGTTTTGTTTTAATCTCCTTCAATTGTAGACATCACAATTTTCCACACTTTTTCAACCACTATTTGAAAAAATATGCATGCGGTTGTTTCTAGTGTAACGCTTAGTATAACTGATCAGCCGATGACTTAGTAAACAAGAATGCACTTTGCCCGAAAGAAGTTATTTCAACATTGACTTCAAAACACTTAAAGGTTCATTATTTTCATAAATATTCTAACAAAACAATTTACGCAAACAGATGGATTTTTAAAGAAATATTTTACCAGTCGCAACTGTTGCTTAGTTGTCACATCTGCATTACCAGTAAATTAGCACCGAGTTTGAATTTGGCTGATATTCAAGACAGGAAACATGACAGTTAAACATTCATTTCATACTACAGTAGTTACGATTATGCTGCGCAAAGGTGAACGGATGATTATAATTAACAACTAAATAACCAGAAGCTTCTATGAGGCGATTCTGAATGTATGTTTTGCCGATGAGTCAAAAACTGATCGAACTTTCCAAACGAGTCTTATATTGTTGGACTGCAAGCACAAGCAAACTCTTGAGGCGTTTACCAGTACATAATATTCCAGGTGAAACAATAACAACAAAGGATGGATACAGTCCTGATGGTCTGTAACATGAGATATGACCATGACATAATCCTAAATGACTTCGACAAATATACAGTAAGCGTCAATGAGAATTATGAATGATGCTAACAAAACTGATTGCCAATGTGATGGCTAGACTTTATGAAATAATCAAGAACAACACATGTTTAAAGTTCAAACAGGTCAACTTCTCACGCGAATGCATGTTATTTGGGAGAATATAATATAACAAAATCCAAAAGAGCAGAATTGGCCACATAGCAGTTTTGTTTGACCTAGTTGTCCAGGAAAAATATTTAAGACTAACTCACTTGTTTAAAGAAGTAATCATGAAGCCAACATCCAGCTCATGAGAGAAGCTTGACGTTGACTCTTCGCTACAGCATTATCACTCTCTTAGTTTGAAATTAAAGTTCATGGAGTCAGATATAAGTTTCCACACCTTTTTCAATATTATGATAAGGATTGCGCAGTCATGATCTCAAGGGGTTAAAATAGCGGAACAAAGCATCTAGTTCAGAAGAAAGGAAGAGTGTAACACAGTTTAGGATTCACATGGATAGCACCATAGCAAAATGCATATAGTTCCTCAAGAAACCGGTGTATGATTCAAGTTCGGATTAATAGCAGAACATTCCAGGCCAAAGTAGTAATATTTTATCAAATAAAATACTTCTGTGCTGGATTTGTACTTCCAACTCAATCTTTGAGCTATATTCATAAATCAATGAATCCTAATACTAATGAATTCGAAACAGACTAATGCAGTTAAGTAAATATCATATCAATCAGCAGTGATAGCAAATGAAATCCGCAAGTGGCAAAAGACGTTTCCGTTTAAGTAATTTGGCTATGAAACAGTCAGAATAGATACACAACTATTGATCTTGGCCCCGAGCAGGCGAAATAGTCTTTTAATGGTAACATAACTTCAATCTTTCTCCCGCTACATCATCATTTGTATCCAGCTACTCATATTAACCAATTACCTGTATGCAAATTCATGAAAACACGTATATTTCTATCATGAATAAAATATTCCAGAACACTCTTAAATCAGTTAACAGCAGAATCACTGTCATGAATACCATCGGCGTATAAAGGCCTACGGGTAAAAATCAATCAAACTATCTCAGTTTCAAATGTTTTGAAAGCTACACATGTACTGAAAGGTGAAAATACATCGGAAACTGTTGGAATTCTCCCGAAAGAAGTGAAAACGGGATCAGGTGCTTCAAACGGTATTCACGCGCAAATTCTTAAGATAGTTTTGAATGAAAGGAAACCACCCTGCGATTGTTAGAAAGACTACTGCAGATCTCACCAAAATAGCGCTTTGATTTTGCTAATTCCAGAAATAGCTTGAAATCTTGCTTTCGATCACAAACATGATTCTGACATGACTGGAACTCGATTGTGATAAAAGTATTGAGCGTGGACCAAACCACAGCAGCACATATCATTGAAAACAATGCGTCCTATAAATCGTGGTCTTTCAGCCCGCATTGAAATGTGTTATTTTTCAAGCCAAGAGGAGTATCAAGACAAGCACGTTTTAGACCATAGCCATAAATTATAGGATGTGACAGCGATGCCTGATCAACACAAAATACTAATTTTCGTTAATTACAGAAATCTTTATGAGGTTCTTTCTTTCACTTGGACCAGCATTATAGAATCATATATAAGCGGTGCTTTAGGAGTTATCGAATCAAGGATCATATGGGAATATGGAGAAATGGGTGCTTCTTGCTAAAATCATTGTGGAGATCTAAAGTAATCAGCACATAGAAGAAGATTATAATTTCGAAAAATATCATCAATATCA